AGAGAGGCCAGAAAGGAGTGAACCAGGACTGCTGTATTGTGTGGGAGGTAAGCAAAGGTTGCTCATTTTCTTGTTGCCAATTTAGAACTAGTAGGAAATTGGATATAAGACAAAATTAAATTTCTGGATCAGCTACATGGTGTTTGTTCCATATTGATGTATGTGAATGTTGTTTGTTTTGGTTTTAGGAATTTGGGTGCCAAGAGGACATGATGTTTTGTGGAATATTTGACGGGCATGGTCCATGGGGACATTTTGTGGCAAAAAGGATCAGAGAAACAATGCCACCTTCTTTGTTGTGTAGTTGGCAAGAGACACTAGCTCAAACTTCCCTCGATCCAGATTTGGACTTGGAATTGGATAAAAAGGGTCACCGGTTTAATATATGGAAGCATTCCTATATCAAAACTTGTGCTGCTATTGATCAGGAGCTTGAGCGGCATCGTAGAATTGATTCCGTTTACAGCGGAACAACTGCCCTCTCTATTGTCAGACAGGTACAAATTTGTCATTGGAATATGCAGAGCAAATATAAAGTGTTTCTAAGTTGTTTACTTAAGTTCTTAATAAGCTATTAACTTACTAGGTGAAGAAACTAGTTGCTGTAATGAGCCTTGACTCAGAAACTAGTTCTAATTGTTTTTAGGCTTTGTATGAGTTTGTGCAATTTTGAACAGTATTAACATGAATGTACATCCTAATTTTTGTTTGTGTAGGGTGATCTCATTTTTGTTGCAAATGTTGGTGATTCTCGTGCTGTTTTGGCTACCACTTCAGAAGATGGAAGCTTAGTGCCAGTTCAGCTTACTGTTGATTTCAAGCCCAGTTTACCTCGTGAGTCTCTCTAATCTATATGATGATCTCTCTCTCAACACACAAATGGAGAAAATAACATATGGTCACACATTTTGACATTTTTTTTTTCAATTGCTTTGTTTGCAGAGGAGGCGGAGCGAATAATTCAAAGCAACGGGCGGGTGTTCTGCTTAGATGATGAACCAGGGGTGCAAAGGGTGTGGCAGCCAGATGGGGAAACACCAGGACTTGCAATGTCTAGAGCCTTTGGAGATTACTGTGTGAAGGGCTTTGGGCTCATTTCTGTGCCTGAAGTGACACAGAGAAATATAACAAGCAGAGATCAATTTGTTGTGTTGGCAACTGATGGGGTATGCACATTACTCTTCTAATGAAACTTTTCTAAATTGAAAAACA